GGCGCGGCCCCGCCCGCCATTTTGTGCCGCGCCGCTGTCGTGAGCGCCTTCGCGCCCGCGAGGGATCCCGTTGGGGCACCATTTGGCCTGCAGTAATGAGAAGGAACAGAGCAGGGATCTGTCCCCCTCGTTGCCCTGCGCGCATCGGCGTGGGGACGACATCCGTGCAGCCCTCCTGCGTGCCCCTCGCCTGCTTCTGGCGCATTTTCTTTCACTTTGGGAGAAAGAAGTTGCTGCCACAACTCTGGGTAATATCGATGTTCTGGCGTCTATCCAGAGCCTTGACGTCCAGCCTGAGGGGAGCAGGGCGTTTCCCCAGGCCCTTGTGCCACCAGCTCATGGTCCTTCGTGTTTTGCTTCCTGCAAAGGCGTTGAAAAGCTCTTAGGTGCTCTGCCCTCCTTCAGCCAGTAGGGGGTCATGGCCATGAGACCTGCTCTGCCACTCTTCCAGATAGTGCATGTCCATATCTCTTTAATAAAGGTCTTTAAGGTGGTTGTCTGTTACTCTGTTTGGTGCCTGTGGCATCTCTGCCTATTCTCAGAGGGCAAGCGTGGGGATGGGTCTCAGCACCTCCTGCAAGGACACAGGACCTCTCCATACAGCCACAGTTCTGTACTTGATGGCAGAGAGAGGTACCAGGAAAGGTCAGTGGGAGAATCGGGACTGCCGGGTTCGCTCTTCACTTGAGTGACTCTGGCTCAGTCTCCTGAACCTTTCTTGTCCTCTGGTCCTTGTCTTCAAAGTGAGCGTCATGGCTTACGCTGTAGCCCGCTGACTTCGGTGGAAGCTGCTGAGGCGTTGTGGGCAGTGACAAGGCCAACCCCAGCCCACAGAGCATGACGACTTCTGACACAGCCTGGTGGCTGCTCCTCCTAGGCTTAGTGCTTTATCAGCCCGCCTGCTGCTTCTGCTCTTTTCCTGGCCTGTCCTTTCACCAGAAGAAATGCGGAAAAACCAGTTCTGTGGTTAATTGCTGCACTTCCCTCCACGCCCATGGGGTAGGTCTCCTCCTCCTCCTCCTGCCTCGCAGTCTGGGTGCACTTCGCCCTCCAGCCTCTTTGGCCCTGGCTGTGCTCTGCCAGTCAGGCGCTCCTCAGGCCTTCACAGTCCTTTGGTTGACCTGACGGCTTTTCTCACCTTCCCCTTTTCCCTCTTGCAAAATCCTCTAGCTGCCTGGTGTCCCTTTCTCCCAGGACAGCCCAGGGGGTTGGATTACAGGTGCAGAAGACACAGGCAGCTGCCCTCTTGGCCTGATCCGGCCCTGCCCAGAGGGGTGGCCTTTAAACATGATGCCTGGAGGCAACGAGAAGAGTGTGAAAGCCCTAAAGGAGGTGTGGAGAAGAGCAGAAAACTCTTTGTGCGCAGACTGTGGGAAGCCGGGTGAGTCCCCGAGGGCTTGGAAAATGCTGTTGGAGGAAGAGCCAGAAGCAGAGAGTAGGGGATAGTTTCTAGTGACAGTTCTGGCCCTTTCGAGGCCTCGGGGCAACCTATGGAGAAGAACAGTGAACAGGGACAGGGGCAAAGCGGAGTTGGAGTTCTTGGAAGCTGCATGTAGGCCAGCAGCACGTCATGATGTGGTTTGGTGCAGGTTGTCCGAACTACAGAGGCCCCAGATGGTGGAGGGAGAGGAGAGCCATTGCTCCGGCTAGCTATTAGCATCCTGTGTCTGGGGGTGAGTCAGGAAGGTGGCAGGAAGGAGGTGCTGCTGCTGTGCTGAAGGAGCACTATAGTGCTGGATGAGCAGGGGCTGTGCAACTGCAGCACCAAAGGCTGGAATCGGGCAAATCTCAAATACAAATCATGGTCAGGCCCAGTCAGGACCTGACAGGAAAGCTCCCAACGAAATCCTAGCTGCTGCAGAAAGAAGGCATGATTCAAAAGGGCATTGCCTCCTCTGTGACTCAGCTTCAAACTGACAACCTGCCACAGCCCCTGCGCCCTGGGATTTTTTTTTTTAATTTTTATTAAAGGGCTTATCCTCCTGAAAGGATATCGGTTTGAGGTCCTACAAAAGCTGTAAAAATGCCCATCACACTCCCCACACAGGGGCATATGCTTTGTGCCACCCAGGTCAAACTAACATTGGGCTAAATAACAGTATTTTACCTACTTAAATTTACGCTGGGGAATTTTTGCATTCAAGGTTGCTTTCTACTTCCTGAGCTAAATACTGATGTGGGTTTGCTGTGGGTTTGCACTAAGCAGCCCCTGGAGTCCCAGCAGCAGTTGCATTTTGATCTTGGATGATTCTTTATATATCAGGAATCTGCAGACCGCTTTGGAATTTGTCAGGATTCAAGTCAATAGAGATTTAAAAGTAAATAGTTGAAGTGAGAAGAACAAAGCAGTAATAGTTATTCTTTTTCCAGAATGGCATCTGTGCCCTAGGAGGTAAATAGTCAGCCTAGATTAAATAGTGGTCACCCAGCTCTCTGTTTCTTGGCAGTTTCTTAGCATATTTATATCCCAGGAAACTTTGCCTCTGCTCTTGATACCCTTTTTTGTACTTTCAGATCCTGACTGGGCCTCCTCTACTTTGGGTGTCTTTATATGCCTCAGCTGTTCAGGAATTCATCGCAACATCCCTAGCATCAGCAAAGTGAAATCCCTGAAGATGGACCACTGGGATGATGCTCAGGTGCAGGTGGGATATTCATCCTCACTGGTATGTCGTTTGGGCTGGTGCTAGTCCATGCACTAGTGTGTCCCAGGAAAATCAGGCCTTGGGCATCATACATTTGGGGATTCGATCTGATAAGCAGTCCCGTTCTACTAGGTGTGCTCTGAATACTCATGTGGGGCAGGAACAGAGACCTTGCAGAGTATCTTGTCAAGCCAAAAGGTTCTCATTGCTCTACATGACCTATTTCTTATGGTCACTATCACCCAATCTGACATCTTCTGTTAGTTTCAGCAGCGCAAGGGGAAATCTGGGACAATTCCATGCTCCAATAAGGGTTTCCAGATTGAATGTGATCCCTTGGAGATAATGACATCTACAGAGACTAGAGCCTTCCCTACTATTTGCCAAATATTTAAGGCATTCTGTTGGTTTGGGTGCAATCAGTGTGGCTTCTGAGGGTAGACAAGACCTTTGAGAACCACATTTCTGTGGCTGAACTTTACTGGGATGTTGCATGGAGGAGAGAGTTGTCATTACAGCTTAGAGCGCATCTGTCCTCTCCTATTATAGGTAAGAAAAAGTCCCAGCATGAGTTTGCATCTCAAAGGGAAAGCACTAATGTTCTGTCTAACTTTACAGTTCCTGGCCCATCATGGGAATGCTGTGACCAAAGCCACATACGAAGCTCACATCCCTATTTACTATTACCAGCCAACCTACAATGACTGCCAGTAAGTTGCTGTATATAAAATAAAAGGGGGAAGGGCAGTTCTGGGTTCCTATAGTTCATTCCTGATCTATCTGCCATTTTTCCACAGAGTGCTGAGAGAGCAGTGGATAAGGGCTAAATATGAACGCAAAGAATTCACCAAGCCAGGGAAACAGCTGCCGTACTCTGATGGTAAGAGCAAAGCACAGCTTCAAAAGGTCCTGCTTGTTTCCTTCTCTGGGAGCTGTTTACCACCAGGAGGAGAAAGCTCTCTTGAGAACCTGTCTGGTACTGACTGGGCATTGTTCTGGGGGAGCTTAAATTGGGAGCAGTGTAGGTTGGCACTGTCATGGGGTATTCCAGGACTGACAATACCAGCTGGCATTATTCAAAGGCACTTGCTGCTAGCAGAGCCAGACCTCTGCAGAAAGGAAGTTCTGTCCTGTTTCATGCCACCCCCAGCAAACCACAGCATTTGTCTTTGAAATGCCATTGCCAGCACTGTGACACAAAATATTGAGGCCTCAGGGCTTGCAAAGTCAAATAGGAAGAGTTCTGGTCCCATGCCAACTGGCTGTGTGGGCCAAGGCTGTGGTGACGATGGGGAGAGACAGCTCCTGCTATCAGAGTGAGTAGCAGGAGCCTGCTCAGGAGGTGCAAAGCATCTGTGAAGGTCTTTTGGTGACCAGGGATCTGGCTACAAACCCAGGAAGCAAGAGATCTCCCCTTCTCAGGTGTCTGTTCTTGGCAATACTTCATAAGCTGCTGCATGTAGCTCTCACATGCCTACTGTGTCTGTGGGAGGATGCTCATAAAAATGGCCCTTCTTGTCGCAGGGGTGAAGGAAGGCATTCTCTGGAAGCGAGGCCGAGACAACGGGCAGTTCCTACCCCGCAAATTCCTCTTGTCTGAGAGAGAGGGATGTCTGAAGTATTTTACCAAGCAGGATGTAAGTACGGTGGTCATCTCCACCCAAGTCACTGAAGTGACAGAGGCCATTTTACTACATGCGTTTCTGACAATTCCTTGCTCATTCCAGACCAGGGATGATAATGGAGAAACCATGTCACCGAGGAGAGGGGATCCTTTCCTACTGTCAGGGTGACAGTGCCCCCATGTCCTCCTTTGTGCTACACTACACCCTTCCCTTTGAACAATCTCTTTGCTGATAATAGTGATAATAATTATCACTTCCTTTAGATTCCCCTTTTCTTGTCTGACCAGTGAATCTCAGGAGACAGGTTTGAAACGCAGTTAAGCTCATTGCTGGTAAGAGGGCTCTTTTTTACCTCTGTCCCTATCCTGGCTGTAATCTTGCCTTTTCTCTGGCACCAGCCTGAGAGCTGACTTGACCTCACTGGAGCTAGTTCAAGAGTGGGTGCAGCTCGAATCTAAATTAGAGGGACCGAACCACTGTTCAGTCATGAATACACAGTGAGGTGTGTGCTGCAAGCGTTTGATAGGAAGAGACAGTTACACCTTTTAAAACACTCTGACCCTGCCTTATACCACTAATTTAGTAGCTTAGATCCCTTTTCCGCCAAGATTCTTCATTTATGACCAATGCTATTTCTGTTTTCAGGCCAAAGAACCCAAAGTCATTATTAAAATAGATGTCATCAATGCTACGTTCCAGCCAGTGAAGATTGGAAACCCCAATGGCCTGCAGATCACCTATCTCAAGGACAACAAGACCCGGAATATATTTGTCTACCATGAAAATGGAAAGGTATCTAATTTTAGCATCAAACACTGCGCAAAGCAGTTGAGGAGAAACTAGTGGTATTAAATAGTCTGAGGCATAGGTAGGCAAGGGAGCGTGTCAGTTGCTGTAGGTGACAGGGTTGGGGGTCTGGCTCTGTGCGTCTGTGGAAGCGATTTGCTGCAAGGAGCAGGGCAGGAGCATGGGGGGCTTGTGTGGGAGGAGCTGCTGCAGAAGCTGGGCAGAGGTGCAGGCTGTGTCTGTGGGCATGGGGCAGGCATGTTGGCTGTTGCAAGAGTGTGAGGAAGGTGCTGCAGGGCCTTGGAAGGGAGAACTGGCTGTGTTTGTAGTTAGTGTAGGAAGGGGGGAAGCTGGGTGGATTTGCGTTGCTCGCTGTTGCTCTAGCTAATCTTTCTGTCCTGTGCTGTTTCTTTCTTAGGAGGTAGTGGACTGGTTCAATGCCATTCGCTCTGTGCAGTTCCATTACCTGAAGGTAGCATTTCCCATAGCCAGCGATAATGAGGTAAGGCAGCAGCAGAGAGCAGTGCTGAGACTCCTGCTGGTACTCACTTACCATGAAACAACAGCCCGCTAGTTTGCTCTAAGATTCCCCAATACAAAAGTAGAAAATACAGTGCTGAGGTACAAGCAGGAAAAATGTGCTTTCAAGGGCATGTGATGGCCACAGAACAGCCACTGTCTCTTATTTCTGGAGATTTTGGCAGCGGAAGTGACTCCTGCTTAGGCAGTTCAGGAAACATGAATTTAAAAGGCGGGGCGGGGTGGATCTAGAAGGAAGAGTGGGCAAGAGCGGCTGAACCAAATTTATGGGAGAAAGTTAATGACAAAGCAACATGGCTAATAGAAAGCTTTTTTTTTGTTTGTTTGTTTTTTTGTTTTCCCTCTCCAGCTTAAAAGCCGTCTGACAAGGAATTTCTTGAAAGAGGGATACATGGAAAAGACTGGTCCCAAGGTAAGCTGCTATGGGACGAGAATTCTAACAGTTCTAACAGGGAGCTGCTGTTCCTCCTTCCCTCACCCTTTAGAGACCCATGGGAGCAGTGTGTGTGCACCAAGAGAGGGGGGAATAAAAGGAAGGGGAAGGATGCATGTAAAAGTGGAAGAAGACGGAGTTTCTACTTTCTCCGGGAACAACAGATCCCTCTGCGTGTATCTGTATGTGACTTTACATGTATTTAGAGTCTGGATTTTTTTCTGTCTGAACTGTGGGATCCTTCATAGAAGTTCTGGATTTGGATGCAGCATTTGAGACTAAAAAACAAACAAATCAGCTGCTTATCCCCACTCTCAGCTCCAAAAGACTGAAGGTTGCTCTAAGGCAGGGGGCTTAACTGAAGTGGCTGGGATGAATTCGAGGTAGCCATTCACCCTGCTTGCAGCAGAGGGCACCGTTCCCTTATATATGTCACATCTTCCCTTTGCAGCAGAAAGAGGCTTTTAAGAAGCGCTGGTTCACGCTGGATCACCGCAGGCTCATGTACTTCAAGGACCCTTTGGTGAGGGGGAGATGTGACCATTGCCCATGGCAGGCAGCAGTGCTGTGGGCAGGGTCAAAGTGCACCCAGAGGCTCTGCCGCGTGCGTTGCTTTGCTCTGGAATAGGGGAGGCCTGCAGGTTCCCCAACCGCTCTGAACGGACGCTGCATCTTCCCCTTTTTCCTCCCACTGAGTTCATCCCACGCTTTCTGTGTTTGTTTCACTGCCTGCAAACAATGGGAACAGGGAGGACAGCGGTGTCGAGGTGGTGGTGGGGTGGAGAGTGACATGGAAGGTGACATGCAGAGTTAGGAGTAGTTCCTCTGTTAGGTATCTTGGGGTCTGTGCTCTTGATTTTCTTTTCAGTCACTGCCTTTGGGCGTAATCCTTCTGCTATTGTGAATCCCTGGATCATCTTCATCTTTTGCTGCTACATTCCTTGTCCTCACTCACTCACTCACTCACTCACCTCCTGCCCTTTGGTGCACAACTCTTACTCCCTGGTCCTTCTTTTCCCTCCTGCTCTGCAGGATGCATTTGCTAAGGGAGAAGTGTTTGTGGGCAGCAGAGAGAATGGCTATAGTGTCCAGAAGGGATTGCCGTCGGGTACACAGGGCAACTTCTCTTGGCACTACGGCCTCACCATTGTCACCCCCGACCGGGAATACCTCTTCACCTGTGAGACAGAGACTGACCAGCTGGACTGGATAACAGCCTTCACTAGCGTCGTCAACCAGCCCATGATACCACAGGAATATGCAAGTAAGTGCCTGGACACTGTTTCCTTCCCCCGCTGCCCCTCAAGTTCAGAGTAACATACTAATGCACCAACTTCTTCCTTCTCTGCAGTTGAAGCCTACTTCAAGGTTAAATCCTAGGAAGCCGTGTGAGAACCCAGCTATGACTCAACTCTGCCTGATGCTGAGTGGGGTGTCAGGAGAAGAGAGGAGATCCACATCAGAGAAACACAATGCTCTTGCAACCTGCCCTTTGAAGCACTTTGTTTTCCATAGACAAACCACTTTCGTCTGGGGCACAATTAAGCTGCTTCCTTTCAAACGCAAGACTTTGTGAGACTGAACCCTCAGTGCAACCAGTCCCTGTCATCTAACTGCATGCTGGCAAGCACTATGATCCACATGGGACCTGATGTCGCATCTGCATGGAACTGGGGACAGCCACCTCATCTTATGCAAGAAAATAGGCACCTGGCTAGAGCTAAGGCTCAGATGGTTACAGTGACTGGATTAGGAGGGACTGCTCAAATAGAAGAAATATATTCTCTGCTGGGGACAGAGAAGTGAATCATCCATACATTTGATCAGTTAGAACTGTGGTTGCGAAAGGTCACTTTAAAAGATGTAATTTGACACGCAAGTGTGGGGCATATTTTCTGACACCTGTGCATGGGCTTGAGAGCTTCTTCAGATGACATTTGTGTAGAGACCTTCCTTCAGCTGCTACTGAGAGGATTTAAGAGACCAACTCAGAAACCTGTGTATGTACATGTGTGTATGTGGATAACTTGTGTCTGTTTACATGCACATCGTAAGAAGTGGGAGGGGAAATACAGGCCTAGGGAAGATACTGTGAGGGACATTTATGTCATCAAAGTTCCACTGTCAAACATGAGTCTCTGTAGTCAAACCAAAGGAGAGAAGTTGGCTCCAGCAGAGAATAGCTTGTGGCAAGTCTGTTACAGTCCTTTGACTCCTCTTGACTTTGCTGGAGCCTAGGGATCTATGCCTGAATTAGTAATACCTGAGTATCTGCTCTAGATGAAGCAAATGTATGACAAAGGCCAAGCACTTTCATTCTGACATATGTGTTTTAACATTTTATGTGGTTATTTAACAGGTCATGACGTTTGTATGTTCATGTGCTTCTAGTAACAGTTCAACCTAGCAACTAAATAAACCTATGATTCATATTTTAGAGATCCTGCCTTTAAGTTTTCCTGGGAAAGCTGGGTTACACCTGCTGGAAAGGCCAGTTGAGTTCTGCTCATGACTGCAGTATCTATTATGTCTGCAGTTTTACACAGGCAGTGTGAGAACAGGTATCTAGTGTGTTGAGGGGAACTAGCTGGAATTAATGGGACAATTAGCTAATTAGTCCTAAAGAAATTCATTAAAAAATCTATTACCAGTTCTTACTTCCTAAGTGATCTGAGCTGTTAATGGCATGAGTTTGTTTCTTGAAGAAGAAAAGATAGAAAATCAGAAGAAGCTCCCATGACTATTCAGGGCATTTCCCAGGGCACTTTGACTGTGAATTTTCCCAGAGGAGCCAGATGAATAAGAGAATGACCCCCTCTGCTCCTCTGGGAGCCCCTCTCCATGCTGGCACCACCACAACCTGTTGGGAGCATCAACTTTTCACCTAAAGTTCCTGAATGAGAAGCAGCATTACTGATCCTGCTGCCATGGCACAATGGAGCTTTCTAACCAAAAATACATTTTCTTTGCAGTTGGCTGATCTCTCTCAATTTGGAGCATGAGGTGTCCCAGAAACTAAAGACTGCCACAAAGCTTATCACCCTCTGTCCTGAGACATAGTGCCCTTTTAGTTCTGATGACATGGAAATGGAGCAGTTCAGTAAAAAACAAAACAAATCAAAACAAAAAAACCCAACCAACTCAAGCCCCATTTAAACATCCTGCACATTCCTTTCTCCTCTGGGAAGAAGAGTATAGAGAGTGGCCCAGACCAACAATCTCCTCACTATATCCCTGATGGAGGCCTTTGAAGTCCCCTTCATGTGATGTTTTGTGCCATACACTGCAACTTGCCTATCGGTGCTGCTGAGGCTGGTGCTACTGTATATGAGCACATCACCTGGCTAGTTGCTTGGATGTTACTGCAAAAAAGGGCAGCACGGGCACTGCTGTTGGGCTCTTTACTCCACTGCTGAGATACCGTTGCTGGGAGTGGAGGCACTTGACTTGAACTAAGCTACTAGAGGGAGGATAAAAAAGGGTGTATAATCTGGAGTGGCCTGAAAACACCGTGTGGTCAGCAGAGCATATTTGATTATGGCAAATATGCCCGTGCTCTTCAAACTGCCACATGTCTGCTCGCTGAGATGGAGGCTCAGATCTGGGCAAGGACATAGCAGGGCTGCGTTAAGGCAAAACCTCTTGGGGCATGTGTCGTACATACACCACTAGGAGGCAATAGTACCAATATCACAGTGCTCTGCTTTCCCTTCTGAAGTGTGGGAGCTGGTGTTGGTAGGAAAAGGGGAGGAGGGGGATAGGTCAGAGGAGGAGGAAGGTTTTGGGGACAGGGGAGGAAGAGTTGTGTCTAAATTATCTATCCCTCTGCGTGTGCTGCCTGTGGGAGGAAGGGGGGAACAGGGCCAAGTCATAGGCAATGGGCGATGTCCTAGCACATGGTGAGCTTTGGCTGCAACACCAGTGGCTGTGCTCTATTGTCTACACCTCAGGGGGTTCTGCTGTTCCTGGAGGAGAGATGCAGGACACACCTTCTCATCCTTGCTTGGCTAAGAGCCACGGAGAACAGTGTCGCAGTTCCCTCCTACTGCATTTTTGACACTGACCCTTGATTTCCTTGTAAAGCTACAATACAGTGACTTTTCCTCCTGCTCCTGCCACAAGCGCTATATCATTTCGAAGAGGATGAAAACTGTTGAGGGAAATAGAAATGGAAAAAAAAGATTGAAAGAGAGTTGGAGGAAGGCATTGGGGAAGAAAGAGTGCTCTTAAGATGTGTATGAAAGAAGGAAGAGGGAGCCAGCACAGCTCCTCAGCTAGTGGCTAAAAGCCCAGTGTAAATTGGGAATGCATTGACACCAGTGTGTGAAGCTGTGAGTCGGACCACATTCCTCCGCACGGTGAGCAAAATGACTCTCCAAGGATTGGTTCAGGGTGGCAGGGCAGAGTTCTCAAAGTATCTCTTTGTGCTGAGAGGAGACAGACTTGGGAGAAGAAGAAAGCCAGTTACTTGAGAAATTTGTGCAGGCTTCTGTGGACCCAAGTGAACAGGAGCTGGTGAAGAGCAGAGATGTCTCCTTCTGTCAGACAGAGGTGGTTTAGCACTGATCAGCCTGGAGAGGAAGAGAGGTCTCTTTCTTAACTCTTTGATGGTGTTTAAGAAAAACTGCTGGACAGAGCTTGTGATGGACAAGATCAGCAAAAAGGACTGGACCGCTGGAGGTGAGGAGTAGATTTTGGTGGAATACCTTGATGTCTGCTGATTAATGTCTGCTGAACTCACGCCCTTCTTTCCTTCCCTTGGTCTTGTGCTAAGACTATATATTTCCTATACATCAAGCGGGGAAGGTGGAGGGAAGGAACATTTCTCTGGCAGCCTGACTGCTTTTGCTCCCTGTGTCCAAAGATGACTTGTGACCCTTTTCTGCTAAGTGTAAGGCCTGAGGAGGATCCTGAGGGTGGTAACTTCTCAGAGGAGAGCAGTGGCAGGGGTGATGACAACAGTGTCTTAGGAGGTGACAGCACAGTCACAGGGCCCCTGAGTGCAGTGCTGCTGGTCATGTGCCTCGTTGGCATGGCGGGCAATATCTACACGCTGGTGGTGGCCTCTGGCGGCGTCACGGGCCGCTCAGCAGGCTCCTTGGGAGTCTATGTGCTCAACCTTGCACTGGCTGATTTCCTGTACCTCTCCACCATCCCCTTCGTGGTCTGCACCTACTTTGCCCATGACTGGTTCTTTGGGGATGTGGGTTGCAGGCTTTTGCTCAGCCTGGACCTCCTCACCATGCACGCCAGCATCTTCCTTCTGACTGCCATGAGCCTCGAGAGATACTGGGCAGTGACCAGGCCCCTGCAGGCCAGGCGGGCTGGAAACACTTACCGCAAGCTGGCCAGTGCCATCCTCTGGCTCCTCTCGCTCCTGCTAACGGCCCCCATGATGGCGATGATCCAGCTGCGGGACCAGGGCGATCACCACAAGCGGATCTGCTTCCCCACCTGGACGCCAGATGCCTTCCGGCTCTACCTCACCGTGCTGTTCGCCACCAGCATCCTGGTGCCCGGCCTGGTGCTGGGGGTTGTCTATGCCCGCCTGGCCCAGGCCTACCGCTCCTCCACCTTGGGTCTGGGGCCCCTGGCCCACGCACGGGTTTTGCTCTTCTCCCGAATCTTCGGCATTATTGCGGCATGCTGGGCCTGCTTCCTGCCCTTCTGGGCCTGGCAACTCACCAGGCTCTACTGTGACGAGGGCCTGGGACTCGGCCCCACTGCCCAGGCCTACCTCAACTTTGGGGTCACTTGCCTGGCCTATGGCAACAGCTGCGTCAACCCCTTCCTCTACACTCTGCTCACCAGGAGCTACCGCCAGGCCCCTGGCCACAGCGGCAGGAGGCTGCTGGGGCCCTGGGCCCCCTCCCGGGGAACCACACAGGGCACAGCAGGAGATAATGGTGTCTCCCTGGTTTGCAAGGAGTTGTCGGCGTCCACAGGGGAACATGGGCAGGCAGAGATAAATGCCCCAGACAGGGGCTTCTCCAAGCTTTTCACTGGGGTCGAGTCCTCCAGGAAGGGAAAATAAAGCAAGTTGTCTTCTGTGCCAGTGTGTGATGTCCTCCATTTTTGCAGCGTAGTCACCTTCACACCTTTTCCTCCACAAGGTTACTGTAAGTCCCCTCCTGCTTACTTGTCTAACAGCGCTTATGTCCCCTTGGGTGGTTGGAAGAAGCTCTGGAAGAGACTCACCTCGAGGATCCTGACTGCAGTATGTGTGAGGTGTCAAACAGTTCCTGGCTCCTCTAGCCATTGCACACAAGCTGCCACCTTTCACAAAACCATGGAGTGGGTGGAAGGGAGCAGTCAGCCTCAATACATCTATATTATGCAGCCAAAGAGTCCTTGCCACCCCTCATCTCCTTGCTGGCAACGGGCTAAGACACATAACAAAGTTAGGACAACAGTGAGTCACAGGATTTCATGGGACCAGTGAGTCACTTCTAGATGCAGCCACGTTAGTGGAAGACCTGAGGCAAGGTTCTCCTGACTGGTGGCAAAACTCAGATTCAGCTTTCTCTCCCACGCCCCCCTCCCCCCCAAAAAAAAATAAAAACAAAGATTTTGAGGAATCTTTCCAAAAGAAGAGACTCTCAAAGTATCATTGAGAGACATTATGATTTGTATGATACACCCCTGAGACGTAGTTCAGGGAAATCAGTACATGTCCCGCTCAGCTTCTGAGATCACTTCAGCAAAGGAACAGCTCCAACACTTCTCTTTGCTCCTTGCTCACAGCGAATGAAGACGCCTCTCACCAATGCAGGGTCCCTGCACCGAGCCTTGTGTTCTACTGAATGCAGCAAAGGAACAGCTCCAACACTTCTCCTTGCTCCTTGCTCACAGTGAATGAAGAGGCCTCTCATCAATGCAGGGTCCCTGCACTGAGCCTTGTGTTCTACTGAATACCAGTCCATAAACTGGGCTAGTTCTCTCATCTTAAAGCCTGCTGGCCCACCATGGCTTACTTCCCTCCAGCTAATCTCTCTTCTCACCCTCTGAAGGACATCCTGGCCCATACCACCCCATGGGAACAGACCCCAGCCCATGCTGTCCTGCAGCTGTGCCTGGGTACTGAGTGGCGGTTCTAGATGTTGCATTTACTAATATAGACCTAGCTGTAACAAGCAGGATGACTCATAGCGTCATCTGTTTTTTTCAGGGGAGCAAGAGCAAAGAGCACTAAGAGGGACCCAATCACAGAGCATGAATTATTGTAAAGCCCTAATGTGCCTGACAACCTGAAAGCTGATCCGAAGCCCTCGCTTCCAGCTTGAGTCCTCACATGCTGGCAGCCAAGCCTTGCTCTGTGCAGGCACCTCCAGATAAAGGGCCTGGCAGAGCCCTGGGAACTGCTGCACCAGAACAAGTGGTGCTGCCTTAGAAACAAGTCCTTGCTCCCCAGCTGCTCTGCAACAGGCCAAGGGGAGTTAAATAGCCTGGCTATGTATCCCCGTGGGCCATCAGGTTGTCTGAGTTTTGTATTGCACATGGGGCAGGCTGGATGCAAGGACCCAAAAAGGGGCCCTCCCCCTCAAGCCTAGCAGGCAACTTCTGTGAGCTAGAAAGAACAGTTTCCACCTTTCCCAGGTCTGCCAGGCATCTCCACCCCAGCAGCAGCAGCAGCTGTCACCAGCACTGCTGAAATAGCACTGACCTGAGAGAGCCCCAAAGGCAGCTGCCATCAGATGCTAAAAGTAACCCACAACTGTGTGAGGAATGTGCTACAGCACCACAATATACCTCATCTTCTGACTCGTCAGTTGCTGAAGGAAGGGCCTACCAGCCTCAGATTAGATTGAGAAGCACTCCAGATCTTCTGAGCTGATAAAGGGGTAACAAAATAATAGGGTAACAAAAGCACAGTGGAGTCATCCTTGGCACCTCAGCTACACATTACTACTGTTCAAGCCCCTTGTAGCAGGTAGAAGGACAACATTCCTAGCTCTGGAGGGAATAGGCTAGGCAGATGGAACAGATTGAACCCAGACTCTTCAAACTCACAGCCAGACAGGACATATAGGCTGTGACCCAACTGTATTGGGGCTTCTGCAGTTATTGGGAGCAGGCAGTGCTGCTCTGCCCAAGAGAGATTTCATCAACTCCTTTTCCTCAAGCAGGAAGATATAGCAGGTTAAGCCTCAAAAGTGATGGTTTTACCCACAAAACTTCTACTCTGTCCAAGTTATAGACTATTGATGTACAGTGTCTTCCCATGTTTCCACCTTTCCTCTTTCTTTCTGGGTTAGCTTGTTTAACTTCCAAAGCAGAAGATGCTCTGCCCTAGCCCTTATCTGCTCCTTCCATGAATTTTGGGGCCAAGACTGATTTTAACCACTCAATTTGCCCTCATACTGGGTCAACTCCTCCACATATGGTATCCCAGTAAAGTTGGTATCCCCCTGCCACTAGGGTAGCCGACCAGTGTAGACAAATCACACAAGCTCTTAGATCAGGTAGACCAAACATTTAATGATTGCCATCTGATTTTTTTTTTTTTATTAAAGAAGGGACATAGTAAGAAACTATTCCCAGCTGATGGACTGGAGTGCAAAGTCTCCTTGTGCATCAAAGTAGTCGAAGACTGGGATACCAAGCCGGTTGGGGAATGTGAACTGGTGGCCTGGCAGATGGACTGTCACGTCACTTGGGTTGATGGCAAAAGAGATCTGCAAGACAAGTGGAAGAGTATGAAAAAGCCTCTGCTTGGACACCCTGCAAGCCTTTCCCCTCAGTGGTGCTGTGCTACCCCTCCACTTTGCAGTGCAAATGCACTCACAACTTAATCAACTCTGCAACAGCAGTATCACTATGGTCCCCCAAGAGATGTCAGTTCCCTGTCTCAGTTCAATAGGAACATTTTCTTGAGATAAATGGAACTTGCACATGTTCAGTTATTACCCATCACTACTGCCCAAAACCTAGAATGATGGTACTGGCCAAGTAGAAGTCATCCACATCCTATACAAATAGTCTAGAGCCAGCTCCCACCATTGGGTCTCCTATGCCAAAAACCCTCCCTTTACGCAGGCCTGTAGAGAGCACATCGCAGGCCTCACCTCTATAGGAGCTCCCTTCTGGAAAGGGAAGACTGTCTCCCTGTGCTCTGTGCCCCACTGGTCCACATTCTTTGAGTTGCACACAATTGTGTTCACATCACCGTGAGCATCAAAGCGGGGGTTGAAGTGAAGACCCAGGTGGGATGAGTCCTTTCCCAGGTTCATCACAAAGCTGCAAAGAAAGAGGAAATGATGGTAACGCAGTAGCATCTTGCCCATTACTATGAATGCTTCTGGGTCTCGTCACTCAGGTAGAAATGTCAGCACCTGAAGAAAACTTAACAAGAAAGCTCTGCAGTTTAGCAAAAAGAGTGCAAGTCAGTAAGGAGGACCTTACCTCTCTGAAACAGATACTGCTTAATATCCACAAAACTTTTAAAAGGAAAAGACTTGGTGTCTAGCCCTGAACAGGGAGGCATTTTGTATGTCCAAAACAGTTTGAGTTAATTGCTTGCCACCAATTTCTCTTTCAGTCCCAAACAGTTAGCTGGTGCTGCACCCTGTTTGACAGTTGCTGTCTTCCTCCACCCTGCAGGCAGCTGAACTAATTACCATCTTATTAACTATCCCAAAGTATCTGTAACTGCAGTGGGAAGGAACAGCTTCCCAACCCAGTGTCCACCTTGCCTCCAGGCTTCTTACCCAGATGAGAAAGGAGGAGGCATATTATTTAGTAAGAGAAAGCCCACAAGGCTTCACTCTGATGCTATCAAACTTCAAAGGCTTTGAGAAGAGCTGGGACATGTTTCCTGGAAGACTTCTAGTCCCAAAACATCACCTACACACTCTATTTATCTACAAAGGGGCCCACCACCATACAAGAGCTCAGGGCTCCTCCAGAAGTATTCCTGCGGTGGGGGGCAACAACTGGTCCCTGCAGAAAGGGCTCTTGTCTACTTAATAAACCAACCTAATGGCTCAGCACTTTTCCTGCTCCTCCCTTCTAAGCATCCGAGTCACTTCTGCTAGGAGGAGGCAGACTCCAGTGTCCTGACTTTTTGCTGCTTACAGCTTTTTCTTCGGCACTGTTAGCAGCAGCTGTGACTCAGCATTTTTCCCCACACTGAGCCAGGATCTCCCAGCTGCCTGGGCTGTCATCTCCTTTGTTCAGTGCAGCCAGACATTCTACCAGTGTCCCTGCTGCAGAGCTATCTGAGTGCACACAAGGATGAGGCTGACTGGATGCTCTCAAGCCAAATCTGAGGCTAGATTCAGCTTTCATTTCCTTTACCCTGTTCTAGAGAGGATGTGGTGGTTACCAGCGCATGTGGCTGGAGCATCACATCTGCTTTGGCTTAGCCCTTTGGCAGGAAAGTGTGTCTGCAATGTGCATTAAGCAATGACTCATTGGAAAGCACTGCTGGTGTTAACCCCTTGCAAAGCTGCACCTTCCCCACACTCCGCACCCCCAGTAGGGATTCCCTCTGTTCCAAAACAGCAAAAGCAACTCAGCATGATGCCGCAGCCATGTCCTGGCACACGGCATGCCTTACCTTTTGGCAGTTGGTGCAATTTTGCCCTTCACCGTGAGGCGCTGGCCAGGCTTGAGACCCAAGTTGGTGCACACCGGTCCCTAAGGAACAGAGGGGCAGAGATTATCTCAGCACCTTCTGGCTGGCTTGCTCTGACCTGGCATCTGCCTACTGCCTTGTGAGGAAAGCACATTGGACTGCTGGAGAGAGGCTCCCTTCCCCTAGGGCAGGGCAAAGGAGGCACTCCAGAGAGGTTATCCCAATTGTATGGGGCATGTCTGGTTTCCCAGCTGCTCTCCTCAGCACAGCTGTACTTCACTAGTGTGAGGCACCCCCAAGCTCCCACCACAGCCACCCACCCTAACCCAGCACTTGCCAAACACACCCACATGCCCTGTGGGTCTCACATCTTCCAACACTAGACTGGCTGTGCAGGGGTAGAGCTTCCACTCCCTTCCCCTTACTTTGATTTGAGCTCCAAGCCCTGCCCAGCACCTTTTGTGTGTGTGTGGGGGGGAGGGAGACAGTCCAGCACATCCAAGGACATTCCCGCTCCATGCATACACCCTTCCACACCTCCATTCTAGAAGGACTAAAATATCCTGGCAAACCCATGAGCCCGGTCAGCCCTGGCTCCAGGCTCACATTTCATCATGCCTAGGGCTAGGCCACAAGAATAAGAACTTCTCCCTACCCCAATTCAGTAAATCACTTAGCACTTGAGACACTCCCTGGCTACCCCTCACCCATATCTAGGTTAAATAAGTCAGTAGAACAAGCGCAAACACTCTTCTGACACAACTATTTCCCCAGAAACCCCCAGCACTCCCAGATTAATACTCTTTAAGAACATATTTTTCTTGTGAGAGCAAGCAGCACTTTCTAAAACCCTATTTTCTTAGGAGGGAGAGTGATAAGGACCAGATGACTCATGAAAGCTTCAGCCAGAAAACAAGAAGTTAGTGACAAGGCTGCCCATGAGAAGAAATGCTTGGAGAGCATTAAGTATTAAAGAAGCTACTTCCCCAGAGCACAGCTGCTGTAAAACAGGTTACCCCTGCTTGGAAACCAAGGATTCCTGCCCCTATCTCTCCCCAAAGGTATCCTGCAGAGGAAAAAAGAAAACCCAACATATTCCTGCCAGGAAGAAGAAATAGCATCACCCTCCTACAATTAATGCAGCAGAGCATCACAACAGCAGGCCTCTAGCTCTGGGAGACCCTATGACACAGAGGTTGACGAGTGGACAGAGGACAGCAGAAGTACTCTCATACCAAGCTCCTCTGTGGAGCTTCAAATCCAGCCCAGCTGCCCCTGCAGAGCCAGGGAAACAAGCCCTCGTGCAGCCCTCCCCATCGTGCTCCCTACTCACGCAAGACATGGTACCACTCTTCAGGCTAATTCTCCTCTTCACCAAGATGCAGGAGACCCAGGCAAGTAGCTGGGCAGCCCCACCCTTGCCTTTAAATAGCTGGAGAGCTGAGTTGTGCCAGCCCTTCTGCACTCTGCCTGCCAATCAGGCGGAGGAAAGGGAGGCCGTGGGAGGCTGTCTCCTCCCACCCTTCCCCTCCAGGATGCTAAGGCCAACCCTTTAAGAGGTTTGCCAGCTACTCCAGGAGGAGATCCAGCTGTGTGTGGCCATGAAGCCAATGGAAAAATAGTTTTACAATGAGTGTTTTACTATCCGAGGCTTTTATCCTGCATGGAAAATGGTCAGAAGGATTGAGACTTGGTGGGAAGGGTCTGGGAGGAGGACCAGGTTCTTTGGCTCTGCCTAAAGCAGCAGCAGAAGAGGTATCACTAAGTGTACATGACATTCAGAAATTGCATGGTCAAGGTGAAATTCCAGGGGCAGAAGGCTGACGCTTGATTCCAGGACTCCCAGCCATGCTATTAAGTCTTGCTTAAGTCTCCAGAGACTGTGGAGCTATGGATCCGGCCCTTACCACCAGCTGCCTTAGATACAGGAGCTGAAGTAGGAAAAACAGCCACAGGCTTGCCAACCCTGAGGTGCCCTACAAAACAAGCAGTATAGCTGGGCCATAGGGCCATACTGTAGGCAGCTGTCTTGGAGAGATGGGGAAGTATTATCTAGGAAAGCTCAGTACCTGCCTCTTGTATCTACCCCAGAAGGTTTGGAGAGCTGAGGAACATGGGGTGCAGGGGGAGAGCAAAGCACTATTACAACAAATCAATATAATTCTGTTCTCTGCCTCCACTTTGGGAAAAGTATGAATCAGAGTGAAAGGATTCCTCTGGAAAAAGTTAGCTAATTACAACATGGCTCAACTATAATTATGCTGAAGGAGGAGGGAAAAAAATCAGGCAGTGGGCCAAGCCTGTGGTTTAAAGCTTTCCTTGTCTTGCATATTTGTCTCTAAATCACAAGACATTCTATGTTTTCCTGAAGAGGCCCAGGACTAAAATGCTCTGAAGCGCTTTCTTCTCAGCTTTCTCAGGCCCATCAGTTTCCTTTCTGCTGAAGACATGGCACTCCCCATCTCTCTTACCTCCTTCAAGCATTTTTCTATAAAGCACAAGATCCTTAACTGTCATCAGGCAGAATTTAGTAAGATGAATCCCACACTAGGTGAAATTCTTAAGTGAGTACAGGAGATTAACCTACAGTATTTTTGATGTTTTTGTGTTACAGTTACAGTCTTATCTCTAGACCCAAATATATGACAAAAATATAATACTAGAAAAGCTGGTGAAAATGCTTTCCTGAAGCACAGGAAGCTCCATCTGAATTTAAGAAAAAGTGTGTGGGTTGACAGAGCCCTAGAACAGGCTGCCCAGAGAGGTTGTGGAGTCTCCTTCTCTGGAGATCTTCAAAACCCACCTGGATGCCACCCTGTGCCACGTGCTCTAGGTGTCCCTGCTGGAGCAGGGGGGTTAGACTAGTTGATCTCTAGTGGTTCCTTCCAACCTCAACCATTCTGTGATTTCGTGTGATTCCAGAGATTGTCACTCCTGAGTATTTCTAGCTACTCTACTACTGTCATTTGAAATACTAGAGTAGTATTTCAAATGACAGCAGAGCTAGGAGGGAGACTCTTGTCTGTTGGAGTTGGGGAGGGAGGGGAATGGCTTCTGCTTTCTGCCAGATCATTAATCACATTAATCACCTCATGGCATAAGGGGGGTGCAGTAAAGGCCAAAGTGGGTCTTCTGCATCTCTGAGACTTGGCCCTCAAAGCCCATGGGCCTTCCTTGCTGTGACGTGTCCTCTCTCTTCTTCCTCGCCTCTAGAAATCTCAGTGTTCGCTTTTGAAACTTCCCCCTTTCTTCTACAGAAGAGCCATCTTCCCTCTGCTCAGGCAGCATGGATGTGTGTGCGTGTATGTGATTATTTAATTTCCTTTCAAAGGCAAATTCTGTAGAACTGGACACATGGAGCTTCTGCGAAGGACCTCAGACATCCGTCCAAGGAGATATGCTGCTTCTGGACACAAGGTCTAGCTAGTCACAGGAACTGAACTAGGAGTGACTGTTCATTTGCAGGACTTGATGGAGAAGGGAAATGTCCTGGCATTTGATCACTTAGAGACGGAGATGTGGGAGGACATTTAAAATGTCTCCTCCCTTCGACTTTTTCAGCCAGGCACAGCATTCCTCACCTGGAGAACTTGCCTGTATCACATTGCAGATTCTTACAGATGCTTCATGTTTTGAGGCTGTGGTATTGATCTGCATCATCTCAGGAGGATCTTCTTTAACCAAGAAGGTATCTAAAGAGATCCAGAAAAGCTTCTTTATCCAAGCTGGAGGATACAAGTTGCTATAATGTTGTTGCCACAAACAGTGCCCTTAGTCATGGCAGACTCTTGGCCAGAAGGAGCCACAGGTGTGGAGCAGTGAGTAATATCAGTGTGATATTACTTAAGCAATACCTGAGCCCAGGTTATGAGGTTGAGGCAGGTGGTGATGGCATCTGCACTTGCTTTCTCAAAACTGTTGCTTCCAGGTAGGCCAGTGCCAGGAGAAAAGGTTGTAGGAGATTCAGCTACCATTACACAGGCAGATCAAATTCCAAATTATGGACAGCACATGTGCAAGGCCGGAAATCACAGCAAACAGACACTCCACAAAGCATGCATTATGCTAGGGATCAGGTATCCTCCTCAGATGTTGACCGGAGACACCTTCTCCATGTGCCTGCGGTTTAGAGACAGCCTGGCTCCAAGACCAACTCACTGACCTCTTGCTAGCCTTTCCTTGCACAACATCCTTGTCTTCTTGCTCCTCCTTGGAAGATACAAATTGCCCTTGTAAGGTGATCAGTCACAGACAGTCCTCAAAGAATTGCTTCTGCCTCTGGGGCCTGAATTCATACCCTGGTGCTGATTGCTATCTGTCATTCCTCTAGAAGGAACAGGACATCCCCATCCATTGACACGGACGCCCACAGCTTTTTTTTTTAAGCCTTTCCTCCAGTGTCTCATTCTTGTTCCAGCGCTCCCCTTGATCCTGAAAATGCCTGTGCTGATCTGCCCATGCCAACACAACACAGTTGCTTGAGTGCCCAACTCTGTCTTTCCTCATGCAGTCTGCTGCCCCTGCCAACATTCGTGTGGCTCCTGTAATTCTGCTTACACTGAAATAGGAATCATATTTCATCATTGTGAATAGCTTTGATTTAGGGTCTGCCTTCTGGTCTGACAGGCATTGCTATGTCCTGACATAACTGGACCAAGATCCTGGGTGTTGAAGGGTAGATTTCAGCTACTGCATACTAAGGGTTTTTTTTCGTTGGGTAGCTGTAGTCAAGATTGCTTAGCAGCAGTCAAAGAAATATCTCAGTCCAGCAAGAGTCTGAAGCAGAAGAAAAAAATTGTCCTCAGTTTTTCTTGTGAGAAATGCCATGACAGACTTAGCATCCTGAGTCATGACTTTGGAGCACTGGGAAAGGGAACAAAGAGGCCTGGTTGAAAAACCTGTGGACTACGTGAGTAAGGTCCATCTGTATATACTGCTCCCAAGGTGGGAAAAGCCTGTTTAGGCTACAATTACTCCTTCAGTGATTTGCAACACCTTTCAACTGGGAGAGCGTCTTTGTACCTGTTCGGTCACTTTGTGTTATGTGGGCTGTGTCATTTTAAATTCAGGATTAGATGCCCAAACCCTATCTCACGGATACACAGCCTCACAGCAGGATCTTGCAAACATTGCCTGCTGAGACATTTCCAACTACATCCAATTTCCTGGATTAAGAATTGTATGTAAGGCTTCAGCTACTGCCAAGTGCAGAATCTTTGCTTTCATTAAATCCGTATGGAAATATGTTCCCCAGTGATGAAGATAATTCTGCAAATATTGTCAAAGGGTACCTAGGCATGGTGATTTATCTGAGAAAGCCTGAAATTACAGCTCGGGGAAGTGGGAACAACTTTCATTCTTGCCGTTAACACAGGAATTTAAGTTAGAGGATTTAGAGACATATTGAAATATGTGTGGTGAGTTCACTGCCTCATCCCAAATCTGTGCTCCTGAGCATCTCTCCCCTGCACCCTCCAGCATGCCCACCCAAGGTTCCTGTCTCTCCTGTGCTCACCCACCACCTCTCCAGCTAGAATGTCTTCCCTGTGCTCCTGAGCAAGGAGCCAGCGCGGGACCGTCACTGACCATGGCCTGTTGCACGTCCTCGTCTTGGTGTCTGGACAGGCAGGATGGATAGGGCGCTGGGTTGCTGCTGTGAGCAGCACTGATTTGCTATGAGGAGTGCTGAGTCTTGCTTGGCCACTGCTGATCAGCCAGCCTTTCCCTGCAGCGTGAGAGCTATGGGGAACCACCGACTTATGTGGTTAGCTCCCAGGCTTGAGCGATAAGTATGAGAAGTCCTTTCCTGGCAACACTGAAAATACTGACAGTATAGCAAAAAAAAAAAAAAAAAAAAAAAAAGCCAAGCCTTCGATTAAGTCGGAGATGAGTAATCCTGACTCTGAGGCCAGAGTGATGGAGTTAGCAGATCTTTAAATCCCGCAACGCGATGAGTAGGCTTCAGGCCATTTGCATTTTTATTCAAGAGCACTTGGCACTGGGCATCACAGCAAAGGCAAAGCAAGGCGAGGAGGGGTGGCCTGATGCTTTGGAAGAGCAGTTCTTGGTTTTGACATAGAGAGGTTGTTCCTAATGACACAGCCTAGACTTGGAGATTGTGCACATAGAGAAATTCCAGTAGCTGCAAATGGAAATTAGTAAAGCCATTGCAGCAGTCCAAACAATTACTGTTGACCCAGAGGGGGCCTACAGACTGGTAAAAGTTGGAAGGTGAATGGAATAAGACCTAAGTTCTGCTGTGGACAAAGTTGAGTTAGGGTCAAACTCTGTCACACAGTTTGAAACAGCTCTTATTTCTCTGTTTTGAAAGAAAAAGGGGAAAATCAGATTTTGACCAGATTTCCAATTATTTTTCTT